CTTCTGGAAGTCTATGATACTTTCAACATTCTTTGTCAGTCAACACCATAATTCAAATGCATAGTTTCTTTTCCAGCCTTCCTTCTTTATAGTCCAGTTTCAAATGCATATGAGGTGATTGTAAATACCATGTCTTAGGCCAGGAACACCTTAGTCCTTCCTCAAAGTCCTCTTTAACATTTTAAAGTGGTCTTTTGCAGCAGATCTGTCCACTGCAATGCATAAGTTAATTTCTTGACTTCTGCTTCTGTGAACATTAATTGTGGCTCCAAATAAAATGAAATCCTTGACAACTTTAATCTTTTCTCCATTAATCATACTGTTGTTTATTGGTCCAGTTGTGAGAATTTTTCTTTTCTTTACATTGAGTTAGTAATCCATGTTGATGTTAAGTGCCATCATGTCAGTTTTTACACATAGCAACCCTGAATAGGGTTTCTGAGGAGTGATTGTTAGGCTTGAACTGCTGACCTTGTGGTTAACAGTCTAGCACTTATCCTACAGTGCCATACTAGGACTCCAAATGTAGTCTTTGATCTTCATCAGTGAGTGATTCAAGTCCTTTTCACTTTCGGAAATCAAGGTTGTGTCATCTGCATATCACAGGATTTTATGAGCCTTCCTCTAATCCTGATACTGAATTGGCCTCCATATAGTCCAGTTTCTTAGAATTTGTTCAACATACAGATTGAATACATACAGGGAAAGGATACAACTCTGATGCACACCTTTCTTGATTTAAAACCATTCGGTACCTCTTGATCTGTTGGCATGACTGCCTCTGGGTCTGTGCACAGGTTCTACATGAGCAAAGTGAACTGTTCTGAAACTCCCAGTCTTTTCAATATTATCCTTAGTTCGTTATGGTCCACACAGTCAAATGCCTTTGCAGAGTCAATAAAACACAATTAAAAATCTTTGTGGTATTCTCTACTTTTAGCTAAGATTCATCTGACATGAGCAATGAATGATATCTCTCGGTCTGGCTTGAATTTCTGGAAACTCTCTGTTCATGTTCTGCTGTAACCATTTTTAAATTATCTTCAGCAAACTTATACTTGCATGTGATATTAATATATATCACTTTTCACTTGGTTGGCCAGGTAGCTGTCCTCCAAATCTCTTAGCATAAACTAGTGACTGTTTCCAGCCCTGCATTGTTTATTGAAACATTTCAATTGGTATTCTCTTAAATCCTGGAGTGGTGAATTTTCCCTAATGCCTTTAGTGTAGTTTGGACTTCTTCCATTAATACCATTGGTTCTTGATAATATATTACGTCCTGAAATGGTTGAATGTTGATTAGTTCTTTTTGGTATACTGACTCTCTGTATTCTTTCCTTCTTTTTTTGGTGCTTCCTGTAGGATTCAGTATTCTATCCATGTTGTTGTTGTTGTTATCAGGTGCTATTGAGTCGGAACCGACTCATAGCGACCTCATGCACAGCAGAACGAAACAATGTCCGATCCTGGGCCAACCTCACTACCACACTTGACGCCATCAATGATGCCACCTGGCCAATCCATCTCCTTAGGGGTCTTCCTCTTTTTCTCTGACCCTCCACCTTACCCAGCATGACATCCTTCTCCAGCGACTGTTTCCTCCGGACAATATGTCCAAAGTAGG